GATCTCCTTCCCTTCCTCTCCCCACAACAGATACCCTGTGAGGTAGGTGGGGCTGAGAGAACTGCTCTTGAGAGCACCGCTCTGAGAGAACTGTGGCTTGCCCAAGGTCATCCAGCAGGTGCAAGTGGAGGAGTGGGGGAATCAAACCCGGTCCTCCCAGATTAGAGTCCACGCACTTAACCACTACGCCAAACTGAAAGAAACAAACTCCCGTTCCAAGGAAACAGGCTGTAGAGACATGAATTGTAGTGATAGAACAGCTCTTCCCATAGTAACAAGAATCACAAAAATATTCTCGGCAGAACATTTCAGCTCTAAGGATTCATGGATCTCCTCCCTGCCCCAACCCCAATACCATTTGTCAACAGACCTGAATTGCCAGAAATACCCACTTGTCTCTGTCCCACTGCATCTCCGCTTCGTAGAAGCAAACGAAGTCATCTTCCAGGCACTCCGTAAGATCCGGGACACGGCGGAAGTGCCGGTGGTAATAGTAGAACCTGTGTTTCGCGTGCTGGCGCTCGATAAAATCTGGAAGTGAAACGTTCAGGCGGCTTCAAGATACATGCCAGAGTTCTGGGATCCTGAGCATATGCTCACACAGTGCCACGCTGCCTCGGGAAGAGAGGGTGGGTGGGGAGAATTGATTGTCCTGGCCTACCTTACAGGGTTGCTGTAAGGTTCTATCATGATCGCAGGAAGTGTTCTGGGGAGTGGAAGAAAGCATGACAAGTGAAGTGCTGAAATAGCACATTCCAAGCTTGGGAAAGCCTTTAGAATTCAATTGGATTTCCCTGCCCCATGAGGAATCAATCCCAATATAATACAGAGGCATTGTGGTTAGAAAGTCAGTCTAGGATATGAGAGACCCATGTTTGAATCCCTCCACTGTGCCACGGAAGCTTCCTGAGAGGCCAGTCAGACATGAATGTGGCTTGGAGACACGACAGCTGAGGGGTGACATGATCGAGGTTTACAAGATTATGCCTGGGACAGAGCAGGTGGAGAAAGAAGGACTTTTCTCCCTTTTTCACAATATGAGAACTCATGGGCACTCAAGGACATTGCAGAGCAGTCGGGTTAGAACGGATAAAAGAGTGTTAATCACTCTTCTTCATCCAAAGAGTGATTAACACATGGAACTCACTGCCGCAGGAAATGGCGGCGGCTACAAGCATGGACACCTTCAAGAGGGAATTAAGGTAAACATCTGGAGCAGAGGTCCATCAGTGGCTATTAGCCACAAGGTACAGATAGGAACTCTCAGTCAGGGGCAAAGGGATGCTCTGTCTCCTTGGTGCTTAGGGGGGCCGACAACAGTGGGAGGGCTTCTAGTGTCCTGGCCCCACTGCTGGACCTCCTGATGGCACCTGGTGTTTTTGGCCACTGTGTGACAGAGTGTTGGACTGGATGGGCCACTGTCCTGGTCCAACATTGGCTTCTCTGTTATGTTCTTAAGTTTACCCAGGTGTGCTCAAGAAGGGAGTGAGCCCTAAAAGCGTGTTCATACTGAGCCTTGGAGGAAGATCCTACCAGGGATGATTCTGGCAATAGAGCCTCCAAAAAATGAACTGAGCCCTTTACTCCCCCCCTCCCCTGGTGTGAGCATTTGGTTGGAAAGGGTTTTGCATTTTCCAGGGCCTGCCTCTGTGACGGGTGGGGCTGTCTTGTTTTGTTCTCTGCCTCCAAGAAAGCTTCTGTCTTCCGTTTCCTGTTTGGCAAGGGGGAGCCCCAGGGGCCCGGCCCAGACTGTGCAGGCCTTCCCTTCAGCCCCCAGAATAACCACCTATCCAAAAATGGCTGGCTTGGGGTTTTTTCCCCCCCTTCATCGCTACCTGAGCCAAGGCCCAGACAAACTCTCTCTCCTCTCTCCAAGGTCAACAGCGGCTTTGGCTCAGATACTCTAGCGCTGAGCCCCAGTCCTGGCCCCAGTCACACACTAGGGTTACCAACCTCCAGGTGGTGGCTGGAGATCTCCCGGGATTGCCACTAGGAGAAAATGAACACTTTGGAAGTTGGACTGCTGGTATTATTTCCACCCCCCCAAAAAAAATCTCCAGGTATTTTCCAACGTGGAGGTGGCAACCCAATTGCACACTCTCAGCCTGACTAGCCTACCTCACAGGGTCGTTGCGTGGATGCAAAAGGAGGGGAGAACTCCGTAACCTGCTTTGGGTCCCCATTGGTGGTGATAAATAATATAAAGCTGCACCTGAGCTCATTCTCTCGCTTTGTGGCTGTCCCCCATTAGGCCCCGCCCCCCACCTTTTGGCCCCGCCCCTCGTGCCCCTGGCCCCGCCCCCTGCACTCACTCCTCCAGGCAGTGACGGGCGCGTCGACCGTGTATTCATATATCTTCTGGATCAGGTCGACGGGGTTGGGGATGGCCGACTGAGGGTTGGGAGCCGGCGTGCGGCGAGGGGGTTCCCGGTACACGTCCCGGTCCGACTGCTCCGGCATCTCGGCAACGCGTCCCGGTCGGCCAGGAGGACAAAATGGCGTCCTCCGCGGGGGGGGGACGCAAGTGCGCACGCGCAGCCCGCGGCGGCGGAAGGCGAAGGGAACTGGCCGCGCTGCATGATGGGAGGCCGAGTTAGAGAAAGGGGTTCCGAAACGTTCCTGGGAGGGCAAACGCGCGTGCGCGAAAAAGGTGCGTCCGGCGCTTGGGATTCTGGAGGGTGTAGTTTTGGGGGAGTTTATCATGGCGTCGTTGTTCTCCTTGGGGCCCCCTTGACTAAAGTTAAATCTGCGAGGGGATTTTTTTGCCGACCCCCCCGCCGCCGCCGCCGCTGGTACCAGTGTAGTGTCTTGTCGTGAGAGGCGGACTAGGATATGAAAGATTGTGTTCAAATCCCCCAGTCACTCGGTGTTTGGGGGGGGGGCAGTCCTTTTCTGCGCCTTGCCTACCTCGCAGGGTTGTTGTGTGAGGACAAAATGGAGGCGAGGAGAAGCAAAGTCTGATGAAGGGTGGAATAAAAACACACTAGGTTGAGAATATTTATCTATTTATTTATTGTTTCTATTTGTATCCCAATGGTAGGGGTAGAATCCAACAAAGTCAGATGATAACAATGTTCCAAGTCGACCCAGTGGTAAAAGTAGCATCCAGCAGGGTCCCGGGCCAGAAGATGTTCTAGGGCACGTTCATCAGTGGCGGTTCCTAACCGAAAGCCTGGTGGAAGAGCTCCGTTTAACAGGCCCTGCGGAACTGTAAGATGTCTGAAGACCTGTAAGAGAGAAATTTATCAGTGTCCAGAGGAGGGACAAGTGGAACGCCACTCATAATGATCAGTGCATTTTTATGTGCTGGCCTGGACTTATGTTTTCCAGTGTATAGACTTGCTTTCTAGCAAGTCTGGTGTAGTGATTAAGTGCGAGGGCTCTCATCTGGGAGAGTTGGGTTTGATTCCCCACTCCTCCACTTGCAGCTGCTGGATGACCTTGGACAAGCCACAGTTCTCTCGGAGCTGTTCTCTCAAGGACAGTTTCTGTCAGAGCTCTCTCAGCCCCACCCACCTCACAAGGTGTCTGTTGTGGGGAGGGGAAGGGAAAGGCATTTGTATAGGCTTGCCAAGTCCCCCCGGGGGGCGGGGAAACCCCCGCCCCAGAGGCCCATTCCCCGCCGTCGGCGGATCGAGCCCCGGGGGGAACTCCACCCTGACGTGCACGTCACCCGGAAGTGACCTGGGCACGCTGGGGGCGGGGCCACGGTCATCCGAGGGAGTACTCCAGCCGCCAGCCGGGAGTCCCCATCTGGCGGCTGCTTTCACACTTGGCAACCCTACATTTGTAAGCCGCTCAGATTCCTTCAGGTAGTGAAGGGTGGGGTATAAATCCAATCTCCTCTTGTTCTGGCTTGTTCTTGTATCTGAATTATATTTTATTACGTTTCTATCCCTTCCCCAGGGCTCAGAGCAGTTCTCCCTCACCTGAGTCGGCCTCACAACAACCACCCTGCGGAGTAGGTGAGGCTGAGAGAGCCAGGGGCCCACGCTCCACTCTGCATGAGCCCAGAGGCATCCCTTATGCTCAATGCTCCCTCTAAGCTGCGGAGTCTTGTGAGCAAACATTCTGCTTTGTGAGCTACAGGCATTAAAGTTGTGAGCGAGCCATTTGGCAACTACATAAATTAGTTTGCTCTGGAGCCATCCTTTCTGAGCTAAGGGGAAAATGTGTGAGCCGGATGCTAAAAAACTGTGAGCTAGCTCACACTAACTCAGCTTAGAGGGAACACTGCTTATGCTGATTTTGTTTGTCCCAGAGTGATTCATCAGAGGGCAATCTGGGCAAAATGTCACCCTCTCCCTCATCTCTGCATGGCTGGGGGCTGAATTTACCTTAGAGGAGTTGGGTTGCCAATCTCCAGGCAGGACCTGGAGTTCTCCTGGAATTACAGCTGATCTCCAGGCTGCAAAGATCCCTCCCATTTGAGAAAATGGCAGCTTCGGCGTTCAAATTCTATTCTCGGCGATGACCTCCCTCCCCAAATTCTCCCCTTCACAGGCACGGGCCCCAAAGCTCCAGGAATCTCTTAGGCCAGAGTTGGCAACCCAAGGGGGTAAAGTGACACCTCTCTCCCCACCCCACCCCTTCTCAGATGACCTTTCCTCCCCACCCAACGGCCGGCGGTGTCTGACCCCTGTCAGCTTGCCCGAGTATGAAACGAATATACCATCAGCATGAAGCCAGCTGCTAAATTTATGTCTTGGGGGCCGAGAAACATCTTCGGTATTAGAGGAGGAGAGCCCTCGCGGGTTGCCTCTTTCTCTGCCTTTGCCCGGGGGTTGAAGAAGACGCCTAATCATGGTCTGTATCGCGTTGCCGTGGGCCGCGTGCGTATTTGGGGGCTAGCTGGGGGTGGCGGCAGTAGCCGATGAATGGGACGTGAGAGCAGCAGAGAAACTCTGTGATTGGGGGCCATCTCGGCGATTTCGTTTCTGGGCTGGCAATTTATTGTGCGAGTCTCTTACAGCAACAACAGTAATACAGTCCACAGTAAACAATGGCCAAAAAAACCAGCAAATAACAACTGTGTACTGCACAAACCCACAGTACAAACTCGGGTTTGTGCAGTACACAGTTGTTATTTGCTGTTTTTTGGCCAAGTCTCTTACAGAACAGAACTGAAGCACTGTAGAATCAGTGTTCCTTCTAAGATGAGTGAGTGTGAGCTGGCTCACTGTTTTTCAACCTCCGGCTCACCCATTTTCGTCTTCGCTCAGGAAGGAGGGCTCCAGAGCAAACGTAACTTATGCAGGAGCCCGATCGCTGGCTCACAACTTTCATGCCAGGAGCTCACAAAGTACAGATTTTTGCTCACAAGACTCCACGGCTTAGAGGGAGCAGTGACTCTGATATACTTCTCTTCCCACCCCCAGGGTTGCCAACTCCCACTTGGGAAATACCTGGAGATTTTGGGGAGGTGGGGTAGGACCTAGGAAGGAAGGGGGTTGGAACTTAACGCCATAGATTCGACCTTCCAAAGCACCCATTTTCTCCAGGGGAACTGATCTGTGACTTCTGGAGATCAATTGTAATCCTGGGAGAGCTCCAGCCACCATCTGGATGTTACCAACTTTACCCCCTTTAAAATGCAAAAGTTTGCCCAATGCAAGAAACCTAAGGTAAAGCTAAAGGTTTCCCTTGCTCGAAAGCCAGTCGAGTCCGACTCTAGGGTTGCGGTGCTCATCTCCGTTTCCAAGCCGAAGAGCCAGCGCTGTCCGAAGACGTTTCCGTGGTCATGTGGCCGGCATGACTAAACACCAAGTTGCCACGGTGTTTAGCGATCCCATTGGGAGACCCAGAAGGCTCAGGGGGCTTTTCTTCTCCCTCCCCTCTCCTCAGTCCCATAGGAAGTTCTCAGCGCCCAGGCACGGCCACCTGGGCTTCCTCCCTCACAAGAGGAGCCGGCGTCACCGTGGGAAGGTGAAGACCTGGCCCAAAGATGACCCGAGCAAGCCCGTCCACCTGACCGCCTTCCTGGGCTACAAGGCCGGCATGACTCACATCTTGCGGGAGGTTCACCGGTCGGGGCTGAGTAAGTTGCT